AGTCTAATATTATAAATTAAAGATGAAAACGTTTGTTTACATCTGTTTGATCCTCTGTAAATAAGATTTTGTCTTGTTTTAACATTTCTCTAATCCTGAACATTTGAAATACAGCAGTTGGTGTCACACACACGTCGTTACTAATTAACCAATTTAACATTTGGACTTACATGCATGACTAGAACAACATATGGCTATTTCTGGCAAAAATGGTAAGGAAATGTTATTTTTATTTAAAAAAAAAAAAAAACCCAGGAAAAATTTAGGCCAAAAATTATTCATTCTATTTCCAGGCTTAACATTTGTCCATAATATAACAATTAAGAAATGCCCCCAAATTAACGTATTTTTTCCAACTGTAGTTAACTTAGTAAAAGACATCCACTCTACATACAGCTCCTGTCTGGTGGATGTACTTGCCCCATCATGGCGGCAACACTATTACTACTAATGTCATGGCATTTATTGCCCTCAAGTACGCCAGCAACATTTCCATCATCTGCCCTTCATTGCTGACAAATTAAGAATCAATCTGTAATTAGCAGATGCCTTACAACTCCCAAACGTAACCCCTACTCTTGTACTTATACAAGCGAAGAGGTGGACGTGACATAACGCAGATAGCTGCCAAATAAAAAAGGTCTGTCTATACATTGTGGTGCTGGACTACACAATCAAGGGAGTGTGGAGACAGATGGTACCACGGTATATAACTCCTATATAAATGCAAATGGTCACTAGGTGGTGTCCTCTAACAAATTTAGTCTTCGCAGTCTTCAGCAACCTCATGAATGAGCGGAGTGATGTGGTGTATGTTAACACAGTCATCTTAGAGTAGCAGCTGTAGGAAAAACCATGCTACTCACTAAGGCCTTGCCACAGCTACCAAGTGGCAAATCTTCTTTAACTTCTTGGAAAAGATTGGGTGTCATTAGGTGCTCTGATATCACAGACATATAAAAACTTATAACAGCTCTACCTAAGTACCACTAAGCTTGAAGAACAACTGGATACTCATTGCCCCAGCTAGACTTTGTGAAATAGGTGCAGTTTTCTTTCTCAATACCAGGCCGATGGATAGAGAAACCCGTATAAATTAACTGCAACAAAATATCTGCTACTTGGCATTACACCCACAGGTGCTGAAAAGAAACCAGAAGAATGCCCATGGTTTTCCATCTCTAGCTAATAAAACTGATTTGTGAGTTTACCAGTTAACACCATTTTTAAATATATGCAACCTTACCTGGTTGTAGTGGGTTTCACAATATGCTAAGCCTTTTCTCTCATAATGACGATGACCCAGGAATGGCTTTTCACATTTTGCACAAACAAAATGCTACAAAGAAAAAGACATTTTTAAATTTTTTATTACTTGGAAATAATGGTATTTTTTCTGGAAAGCAAACCAACCAAGCCCAGTACTGTACATAACTCAAGTCTACTGAGCTAGCTGTGCCATCTTGAAAAGGAGAGTTGAAACTTTTTTGTTTCTACATTTAGACCACTAAAATAAAGTTACTTTTAATATCGTCAACATTTCAATCCAAAAGTTTAAAAAAAAAATCAAGCAAAGAGATTCTGATATGTTATCAATGAACATAATGAAGAGATATTAAATAATGTGCACCATCATTACACTCTTGTGAAGAAAGCATTTGCTGGACATTTTGAAAACAACAAAAGGAATAAACTGTTCATCTTCCTAACTTAAATGGAAGATGTGGAACTAAATCTTGTACATGACCTTGAAGTAAGAACTCTACGTGGAAGGTAACTATGGGAGACATAAGGGTATTATGATGCTCAGTAATATTATGGATGCCACAGAATTTTACTGCCTTTCCACATGTACCACTTTGCACTCTGAAATTTTCTTTTGTAAGGACATCACAGTGCTTCCTTTGATTACTGATTTTAGTTTCACAGTCATAGCTCTCTATAAGGTAGGAAGTAACTCCTATTTCACAGTGGAAGACCAGCCACAAGAAGGTTGAAGATGGGATTAGGAGAAGGCATTTACTAATCATTGCTGCATACTTTGCTAATCCTTTCATTGAAATTGATCAGCAAAATCCCAGATAAGTATGTTAATGTTTACATTTGTAAAAGACAACGTATCATCTGATGTTTACCTCCACATGCCATTGTTTGCCCATAGCATTCACCACACGGCCTTCAATTGGTCTTCTACATGCCCCACAGATGGGGACACCCATTTTGTCATGGCAGGGTAAGCAGTATAATTCTCCCTTCAACTCACGAGCATCAGCAGTAAGTTCCTTCCTGTTCAAAAGTGAATGAATTGAGAGCATGAATAAAGGCACTGAACAATGTCAACTCGTGAGAGTTTCTGAAAAGAAAAAAATAATTTTTAGCATTTGTTTTAGCAATTGTTTTTGTACTACTGTAATGCAGCAGCATCAAATACGACATAGTTTAACATAGTTCAAGACTAATCACAGTAAACTGAGAACAAGCTGCTAAGCGAGATGATATACTAAGTCTCTCTGAGAGCAGCCACTGAGCCATTGTCTTTCTGCTTTCTGGCTATGTAGCACAAATGTGTGTGTGCAAGCTGTAGACATGTTTGGTTTATATTCTGGCATTCTTATCACCAGTTTATTTTAGATTTGCATAACTGAAAGTGAAATGTGTTCTCCTGTTGTATCAAACTTCAGAGAAAGAAAACTACGGACTCAGAGGAGCTAGCGAGGTTTATTCATTGCCAATTGCAGAATCTCATATACTCTACTTTTTAGTAATTTGCATGGTTAGAGTACTGAGAACAGCTAAACTTTAAATGTGACTGTACTCACTAATGCTCTCAACTGGTTGCCACTGACACAATACTGCATGTTGGTATTCAAATCAGCCTTTGCTATGGCACTGAAATGATAGTTTCCTTTGCACCAGAAATAAACAACAAATAATCCATGCTCTATCCTGCAATGCCCTCTAATCTGTGTATCAGTGCAGGATGTAGAAATGTGCAGCTACAGGTACTACAATTGCAGAAGCTGGTAAGATGAGGTGGGAGAAAGCTTCTAAGAAAAAGATAGGCTTTAAAAAGGAGTGAACAAAGTTTGCATGCCACTCAACCAAAAAAGAAATAACATAGGCAAGATGGTAATACAAGCAGCCAATGGGACCACTTTTCTTCCTCTCGGTAGCAGAATAACAAGCTACCATATCACTGCTACAGGAACCATTATCTGTGTCCATACTTCATATTTTGTAAGGCACCACCTTGTCCTGCAGAGTCCAACCTTTCTTTACTCCCCGACACGTCAGTTGTCGTTTGAACTCAAGGTTCAACTCCACCATCCCAAAAGCAGTAACACACATCTGGCTGCAAGGCGCCCAAACCCCACCCCTCTTGCCAGTTGTACAGGAAAGGTTTTCACTTTAAGATATAAATCGATGAAGCAAATAAACCCAGCATTTTCCAGTTTTCCTTTGCAGAACTCAAGTTACCCGCAGTTTGCACAGTTGAAATGATCAGGGTGATAAGGATCATTTTTGAATATGAGCGGCTGTTCGTCGATAATGGCATGACACTTCTGGCAGACGTACTTTCCCAGGCCTCTGGCTTTTTCCCTGTTATGGCAAGGACGGCAGAGATGTCTGAAACCATTAAAAAAAGAAGTAAGTACTGGTACCAGGTACTACAGTGCAAAATATAAACCAAAAGTGTATTAGAACCTCATTTCAATCAGCCTTTTTTTGGAGAGAAGACAGTCTTTAAGACAATTCCCTTGTTAGGCAAACCAAGTTCAGAAGAGGGAGGGCTATCATTTTTTTTCTGTCACCACAGGGATATAATTTCTTCAGCTCATTTGAGTTTAAGCTGTGTTGAAATACAGAAAACAATGTTTGTGATAGATTCTCATTGCTGAATGCGTTACTCTCAAAATCTTAAAAATTTAGATTGGAAGCTGCATGACCACACAGGTCCTAATTCTGTAAATAACTGTGTATACCATATTATACATATGAAGCCAATGGCCCTCGTATCCACTTGTAAAACATTCTTGTGATCACAGTTGGTAAAAATATCTTATTCTGTGAAGTGTCCCACTGAACTAAAAGCAATTATTAATAAATGAGGTGCTAAACTAGACCAAAATTGGAAACCCAAGTTGGAAAAAGAAAGTAAAAACTGGTATTAAAAAAAAATAAAGAAAATGTTTCTGTATCTGAATGTTTTCTCTTATTATGTATCACAATGGCCCCAAAAGGTTACCAGGTAGAGAACATGTTTGCTGAGAAATCTGGTGTTGAAGAAGGTAAACTGTTAATATTTTAAGTGTATATTTTAAGATACCCAATGTGATGCACTCTTAGGCCTCTTCCCCACAAAAGATGCTTCAGTTGCTCCACCTCAGCTGGAAAGTTTCAGGAACCAAAACCTCTCAGTTCATTTTATTCATGATCAGTAACAGAAGGAAGGGTGAAGATCTACCTGCCAGCATTCTTGACAAATCCAATATCAGCCAATACTTGTTGGCAGATATCACAGCAGAAGCACTCTGGATGCCAGCTATTGTTCATAGCTTTAATAACACGACCAATAATGAACTCACCTGTAAGAAACGCAACACCAGGATGTAAAATACCATGCTAGACAAAGTTAAAGCAACCCACCACCAAATTGCTACAATGTCATCATCTTCTTCCTCCCTCCCCCCATCTGGTAGGATACATTGCTTTCAGTATCACAGTTTCGATTCTAAACTCTGGAATTTTGGGTTGTTTGGGGTTTTTTGCTATGGGTCAAAAGAAAACATCCTTGCTGATGGAGGACCTTCTGTTCTTTACATACAAGCCTTTATACATGCACACTTCACCTCTCTGCAATCATTCATTTTCAGTCCCTTCCTTGTTTTTACTTATCTGTTCTCAAGCTGTTAAGAAATATATGGAGTTCTTTATATAATAAAGCTTTCTTGTGTCCTAATCATCTTTCTCCTTCTTTTCTTTTAGAAGATGACAATTTTAACTTGCCATGTACATAGTAGTGATTTCTAGTCCACTAGAACCAACCCTCGAAGGGGCTCTATACTCAAAGCACAACAGAACTGAGCTTGGGTGGCTGCGGACCTCCTGCAAAAAAACCGCCATGGAGTCAAAAAGCAAAGCCGCAGTGATGCTGCAGAACAGTCAATCCAACACACACAACTTCTGACCTACCATGAGGAGTCCTGTCCTGCGAGGCATTAAAAAATTAGTGTAAGAACTACTGTTCTGCATGCACAGTGTGACTGTACTGCACAGGCAGTGGAGCCATGTCCACCACACGTGTGATTTAGTTGTTCTCTACGTGGATGTTGTAGCCAAGGCCCCTGAGCAGTGCAAAGGCTCTGCCTAAAATGCATTGAGAGCTCAGCTTCCCAGTGCTGCAGGAGACCGAGCCTTTGCTTTGGAGGATGCATAACTCAAACACATGCCAAAGGGGAGTGATTGGGCAGGTGACCGATGTGGACGACAACATCCAGCATGCGATTCTGTGGCATTCCCATGAAGTCATAGCTTTTCAAGAACAAAACCTGATGGACTCTAGAAGAGTCAGGAATGCTTGAGGCCTCATCTCTGACAACAGCCCCATCGACTTTGGCTATGCTTACTAAATCCAAGCAGTGGCAAAGCCCAGCTCTGCGCAGGACCTTGATGAGGTTTTAAGGGAGCCAGGGCAGGAGCAGTGGGAGCTGTGCCAGCTGGGCAGGAGAAATCATGGAGATAGGCAGCGTAGCTCCTCAGAAATCACCACCAACCCATTTGTTCCTCTTCTCCTGCTTGTTCACATCTGCAGCTTTAAATTCAAAGGTCCATAACATCTGCTTCCCTCTCCCTCAGTGTTCAACCCCTCCCTCCACATGGGGAAAGGCCTCACTGAGATAAGTGAAAGCCGTAGTGCCTTGCCAAGGTGCCGCAAAAACACAACAGCTCCCAGACCAGTTTAAGCAACACTCAAGTAATGACTTCCCAGCCTTGCCCGAGCACGATGTGTCACACATGGGAAAAAACCAAACATGCAAATGATTACAGTGCAGCAGACACGCAAGCATTTACATCAACAATGGCAAATAAAAAGCAGCCCTTGGTGTTAGGTAGGGTGGACATTAGAGTCTGAAACCTTAAAGGTATTTGTTGCAAAAATACGAGGGATCAGCTGACCATCATTTGATTATGACACTAGATGATGATGATTGTCCCCGCTTCTGTGGAGTAGGGCAACATGGGTGGGTTACAGTAATCAAAGCAGATGACAAAGACTCGTTGCAGGGTTTCAGCTGCATGAGAAGGGCCAATTATGAGCACATGCAGATGTATAGATATATATAATCAGGAGTCATGAACAGTATATGTAATCAAGAGTTCCTGAATGGTCTGTTCATTGGATCACTGGATCAACACCTAAACTACTCACTCAAATAATGCAAACTTTTTTTTTTTAATCCTACTGTTTGATGCCCTTTAGGAAAAGCAGCTCCCCAAAATCTCTGAAGTCTAGTTCAGTCTGGAAGTTCAGATGCTCAGCCGCATGGGGCCACCTCCCAGAGAAGATATACAAGGGTTGCACATCTTCCCCCAGCAATGTATGTTGACTTCCCATTTGTGATCGGTGTGCAGTGTTTCACCTCAATGTAAAACTTACCGCATTGATGGCAGCAAGGGGCAAAAAGCATTTGAAAATCATGTTCACAGTACTTCCTCCCTTCAAACTGCAAATGGAAAACAGGCCAAGCGTTAGAGGGATGAGGAGCATGCCCTTAACATAAATTCTGTAACACACCAGTTTGTTACCAGATGCAACTGGGTAGTAAAAGATGAGGGGCTGCACAAAAACAGTCAGACCATGTGCTAGGCATTAAATCTACCCACCTTAATTCAGCTACTAGTTAGCATGTAGTGTTAATAGCACAACATTCCTCTAACACTGCTGAGAATGTAAGGCATTTTCCATCAGCCATTTACATCGTGAGAGACATCTGAATTTGGACAGACTGCTGAAACTGATGCAACTGAGTGAATTCTGGGCAGGAAATTAGCTAACAAAAACCTTTCCTGGGAGGAAGCATTTTCCCTGAACTCATTTGATCTCTTCCCCACTCTACATTTCCTGCAAGAATGACCCAGGAAGCTGGAGGAAGTAAGTACGGAGGAGAAGGAACACCCAGGGCCAGAATTCTTTGCCATTTATGGAGCAATACAGCCAAAACATGAAGGGAAATAAGATTTTTCCTTCATGATGCTTATTTCACAAAATCACAGACTCATTTAGGTTGGAAAAGACCCTTAAGCTCATTGAATCCAAATTTTAAGTTCACTTAAAAGTTCAGTACATCAACCAGATGAAACAGAGAACCGATCTTAAGGGGTTTGGATTTGGATATGAATTTTCTCACAGCTTAGAGAAGTTCAGCTGCAGTTCAAGCTTGCATAGAAAAAAAACATATGGAAAAAAAAAAGTTCTGCAGCACTGCATTAGCAACTTAGCTGGGGAATATGTAAAAACATGTAGGCAAGTATGTCCTGAAATGAAGGGAAATGTTTAGATACCTTCAGGCACATCATTACTAGACACGCATGCCAACTAGCATGTCAAAACCAGACAGACTATATTAGGTATGCTATGAAATGTTTGGATTTGAATATCTCAGTTTAAAACACTGGAAAAAGGGGGATAGAGGGAAACCCCACTCCTTTCTTTTTACTGGGTCTCACACAAAACAAAGTGAAATAGCATAAAATATTATCCACAAGTTAACTTTTGGTGCATGGACAGAAAATATGGCAATGTGCTTCAGGATTACCTGTTTTATACTATGAAATTCCAAGGATCAAATACAATATAAGTAATAAGTAATAGTAATTACTTGTGCAATACACAGAGCCACTGGCAGGATGGGGATCTAATGAAACACTCTAGAAGTCACTGGATACTTCAGACTAGAAACTTATTTCCTGTGCCCAACCTGAATTGCACCTACTACGAACAGAAAGACACGTGCTCGATACAGGCTCTTTCAGAAGTCTCTGCTAGCAATTTATCAAGTGTTTTTCCAGTGTAATACTCTAAAACAGATGACCTTATTAATTGCAGCTTTTTAAAAAAAAAAATTGAGAGACAGAAGGCTATTACTCTCTCAGAGAGTAATGGAAATCATTGGTTCATTGAGAATTCTGCTTGCTTTCTGCTGGCTAAAATCCTTTCTAAACTGAAAAAATCTGAAAGCTCCCTGTTTTATGTAAGCAGGTGGTGCAATGAGGGATGCACAGGTTTGCTTGGATTTCAGAGCCACAACATGTTGGTCTGGGTGGACCAAACAGGTTTTCTTCCCCTCTGGTTTGCGTCAGGCACATTGGTTACCAGTCTTGTTTGTATTTTCAACCTTCTCGGCTCATTTGTGCTGCCTTTTGTGGATGACCCAGCAGTTGACCCATCAGATAATGCCTTGAGCTTCTATAACAAATCATCATAGAATCATAGAATCATAGAACGCTTTGGGTTGGAAGGGACCTCAAAG